ATTTATTTATTTATTTATTTATTTATTATGTTCGATTTATTGTCCGCCCATCTCCCCCCAATGGGGAACTCTGGGCGGCTCACAAAGTACATATCATACAATTACAATTATACAATTAATTACGTTATGTGACCAGCAGGGGTCGCTAGGGGGTCATCCGGGCTTTTCCTCCTCCGTAGATCTTCCTCGCCGCTTGCCGCTCATGCCGGCGTTTTTGCTCCCCTGCGCAGCACCGCCAGTTCCTCCCATCTAAACGGGAGTACCCATTTATCTACTTGCAGATGGAATAGCTTTCGAATTGCTGGGTGAGCAAGGAGCTAGGACAAGGGACAGGAGCTTACCCTGTCCCGCAGGGCTGGGCTTGAACCGCTGGAGAGCCAGTCATTCTGACCGGCAACTCCCATGTCATTAGCAATCAATATTCTTACTTAACCATTCAGTGTAAAATTTTTCAGAGATTTCAGTCAAGTTTGAGCCTAGTAGCACATTTAAGCTGTATAAAATCTGAGAGCGGGGGAGGGGAGACTGAAATTTATTGCGAAGTCCTGGTCTGGGAAGCCAGACAACATAAAAGGAGCTCTGTGTTGGGTGCTCCATTGGAATTACTGGTTTTAATATCAAGAGTAGTTGTGCTGCTTATTAGCAGGTTATGTCAGTGTTTTGCTTTCTTGTATCAAGGGGCTTTTGTTTGTCTTGCTACTTCTGGAAGGATTCTTGGTGGATACAGAATAAATTATGATTTCCTGGTGCTAATTTTGCCTATCACATTTCAAGGAATGTTTGTTTATTTCTGTATGGTAGATCATCTTACATTACTCTCTTGTGAACATTATGTTGGTAATTCATTCTAATTCCTATATCAATAATTATTTCAAACACATAGCAAAATGTTTAGATAGAATTGTAGATAAATATTTGGGATATTGGCTTATTGACCTGAAATAAATACTTACTTATATCTGTAAGGTTTAAGAGAATATAAATGTTACAGCATAAAAGACATAATTAGTAATTTTAAAAAGGCAGGAATAGCTAATAAGACAAAATCCAGAACATAGTTTAACTAAAATAATTGGAATGCAGGGGAAAATTATGTTAAACTACATGCTACACAAAATGTTTAGATTGTTTAGAAAACAACTTTTGCAAAACGAATGTTGCTTTTAAGTCCCTAAAATGTAGTTAGTTTTGAAAATACATTATGAAATGCTATTCACTGGTAGTATTTCAACCATGAACAACCTGGGGAAATGTAATTATTGAAAAATTATTTTCAAGGTATAGGCAAATGTATATCATGAAAGTAATCCACTTAATATTTTTACTTTATTTCAGATCTGGGTACTTGGATTTAAACCATTACTGTGACACACTATCTGAGATTATATTAACATGGGGACTCCTGGCTCAGGAAGGAAAAGAACTCCAGTGAAGGACAGATTTTCTGCAGAAGATGAAGCCTTAGGTCATATTGCTAGAGAGGTTGGTAAATTTGTTCAAAATTAAGTGACAGTTATAACCTGGAAATCAATGTTTTATTTCAGAATAGGTAATTATACTTCTTGGAACAATTATTAAGTTGGAACTTATGCTCAGTTGGTATACTCAGAGAATGTAACCTTCATCAGCATGCTTAGTGGTTCAAACATGCCTAGAGATTCTTGCTCTCCTAATGGTGTGACTACAGACCACCCATCCAGTGTATAGTTTCAAGTGGCCATTGTTATGTGAGTCTGCACAATTATAGCTTCTGGCAAATCTGTACAATGACATCTACTAGTTAGAGTAAACCAGAGAAAGTACTTATAGCTTATTAGTGAAATAATTGGTCTTTGTGTATACAGATGAGTGACCAAATATGAGACTAGTGTTATGCAAAGAATTCTTAAACATTTCATAACAGGATGTCCATTTCTTAACAGCTAATGTTATAATCATTATGTATCTTTACAGCAAACCTTAAGCCTGTTACCGAAAACTAGATTTCTTTTTTGTATAATTAAAAGTACACAGATTTTTCCTTCTTCTCTTCCTCCCTCCCTCCCTTTTAATATTAACATTTTTCTAAAAACCTAAAATAATTGTGGAAAAGTTGATTCTTAACTGTTTTGTGCTGAATTTTAGTGATGCTGGATTTGTTAACTGCATGTACATTTTTTTTCAATGTAACAGGCAGAAGCACGCCTTGCAGCCAAACGTGCAGCCCGAGCAGAAGCAAGGGATATACGCATGAGGGAATTGGAACGACAACAGAAAGAGGTATGTACCATCAGAAGAAAATACTGTTACTGTCTTAAATTTACTAGAGTATACAAGCGTTAGATTTCCTTTTCCTTAAAAAATATAATGTAGAAAGCTTTTAAAAGAAAATGTTACTACTATAGATATCTTTATAGTATATTGAATATGTTATTCTTTAGCAGAGGTGTGCAGTGTTTTTAGGTGAAACATTACATATGATGCCATATGTAATAGTGGGTGAATACATGTATGGGTTTATGTGTATAGACATATACATGGCCTCCCCACTGTGTGGTGGAAGAGGACAAAGAGGACTTTTGTAGTACAATAACTCTAAGTTGCTATAGCAGCTATACTATTACAATTCTATAGAAGAGAGTGCTTTGTGCTAGAGAAATCAAGTGAAGCAAAGACAGTCTGCACAAAAGGCTACTAGGAACCATGTGCAGAATATGGGTTGCCCCTCATGATATAGAACAACATTTCTATATTGTAAAAACAGTTTACTCTGTTTTATGTGATAGAACTTGTGGTAAGTATATGAGGATTTGTGGTAGTTTTAACAATGCCTTCATTATGTGCATCATTACTAATGTATTGGTATTGAAATATTGGTCAAATGTAGCCTATTTTGTTCTTATGTTATTGCATTTAACCTTTAAAATTGCTAGTAGAATTCTACTTTTCTAGACAGTATTGCAAAATAACTTTTGTATTTTGTAAGCAAAATTTGAAAGATGACTCTATTGTTACTAGAGCTTTATCCTCTTTAAATCAGAATTTCTACCTTCTTGTAGCTTTCTCAGCGTTCTTATGATAGAAAATGGGGACATATCCAAAGGTGGATGGTAGGCCAGGATTGTGTGTTTTGTGATGGTTTTGTCCTGGAAAACTAATCTGATTGCGGTGTTTCATTTACTAATATTTAGTATGTGAAATTTCATGATAAGTGTGTCATGAAGTAAAAACTTTTTAAATGTATAAAGATATTTTCATTTACATAAACATGCTGATTAATACAAATATGAATATAGAAGAAACTGTTCTGCATCATCATAATTTGGATAAGTCTCCTGTTGTAATTCCTAGAATTTTAAGGTACTCAGGCTTTGTTGGGTCATGTCCAAAATGATATGTATCATTCCAGTATTGAATAAATGATTGCAAAAGGATATAATTTTATATTATGTCATCTCTGTCTTGTGTAAATTTAATCAAGACAAAGTAAGCTTGGTTTTCTGTGGCTACTCTTTATTTAGTAAATAGTTTGGAACTTTGCAGCAATTGTATTATATGCAAGTTAAATTATGTTGTATGTTAAAGGAACCTTCTCTGATGTAAAGATCTGTGATATAAAAACAATAGTAAGTGGACGGAATGTCAAAAAATGACCCAGTATAAAGACTTACCTTATGCAGCTTAAGAATTGGATCAATGTCTTTCTTTAACAGAAAGTCACATATCTATGTAATATAGCATAGGTCAACTTCACCCATATCGTTTGTAATCTCATTCTGAATTTTAATGATAAATGTACTTACTTTTTATCATTTATTTTCACTTTATATTAATTACTATCTCTAATTATTCAAAAATAATACTTCTTAGAAGAGGAATCTCCTATCTGTAGAATAAGTATTATAAATTATAAAGCATAAAGCATCTAATATTTATATTAATATATCATCTGGTTACATTGGATCAAATATATCATTTAAACTACAAAATATATGACATAAATAATAGTAATGGACTTCTAGTACTTTTTTTTTTTTTAGTTTTTTAATTTTACTGTGTCACAGTTCCAACTTATAGCTGTTGGCTATTTTCTTACCATTTATGTAGCAGGTAACTATACATTTTATTTATTTGTTTGTTTGTTTGTCACATTTATATAGTATAGCCATCCATCTAACACAAAGCGACTCTATACATGATAGTATACATGAAATATCAGTAGCCTGGGGTTGGCAGAATGCAGTCTTCTGAGTCCATTCTGGTTATGATTGCTGAAAAATTAAATTTTCTTGCCATTTTAAAAGGGAAACACATGTAGTATGAGCCCTGAAATAGCATATCACATTTAAAAAAAATAATGACCCTCCTCAATTCATCC